ACAAGGGGAGCCTGAGGCGGAGCACAAAAGTGAGGACAGCGGAAGAGAGAGAAAGAGAGAGAGAGAGAGAGAGAGAGAGAGAGAGAGAGAGAGGGTGAGAGAGGAACCTGAGGCGGAGTCAAAAAGGGAGACGGACGATGGAAGAGAGAGAAAGAAGGGGAGAGAGAGAGAGAGAGAGAGAGAGAGAGAGAGAGAGAGAGAGAGAGAGAGAAAGAGAGAAGGAAAGGGGGGGTCAAATGAAATCGTGTTCACGAATCCGGTTGCCTACCTGCGGTGTGTTCGCTGCGTTGCTTGATTGCGTAGACAGCCTTTGCTGACGTACAGTGCTCTTGCTGACGTGGCAGTCTTGGTGAGGTGGACCATGCTTGCTTGCGGGATCTGCCAGCTTACGTGTCAACGACCTCCGCGCTCCTATTCGTAATGGAAAACCAAAACAGCGTCCTGCAGCGGAAGAACAGGGAAGGAAAGACCGGCCCTCCGGGTAAGGTACTGTTACCGGTAGCCCGGATTCTTCATCCCTGGCCGTTCATTTTTTTATATCTACGGTCGGAAAGGAAGACTTCGTGCTACTACCGGTAGGTCGCGAGACCTCGGCCCTGCGCGCGCAAATGTATTCCAACTTCAAATTTGAAAAATGACGCCATTATCGAGGGCCATGCCCCACTTGAGGGGTTTTAGTTCCAGTTCCAAAAGCGTATACATGAGTCCCCCGGCCATGGGATCTGAAAATAGTGTCACGAATAACTGTACTTGAACAAAATAAACAAACAAAAAAAAAAATCTGTCACGCCAGAGCCAGAGTGTGACCCCGTTGAAAAATACCCGAGTCGAACGAAACCTCCGCAAGCGGTGCACGGCCTCGCCGATGTTCCTGTGAAGTGGCAAAAAGACGTCAAGGAAAGAGAAAACGAGAAGACATTTGGAAAAAAAAAAAAAAAAAAAAAAAAAAAAAAAAACAAAAAAAAAAAAAAAAAAAAAAAGGGCGACGGCCTTGAGATAAATTATTATCGAACTGACCGGCCCTATGTGATTCAGACTTGTACTATTTGACTGTATTTCACTCATCTGCTTCCACTGGAGTTCGAACTCGGGTCTGTATTTCAAGTTTCAACAGTTCAGGAGTGTGCCAACTGAGCTAGGCGAGTTGGTAAACTGAACAACCTTTTTTACTTTCGCACACACCGCCATAGCTTTAGCGGGGCTGGATTGCATTGCGGCCGACTCCTTCCTTTCCGCATCGCGTTCAGCAGATCATCGAGCAGTGTAGCACCAAATAGCAACCATGGTGCAGCGTTTAACGTACCGCAGGCGGCACTCGTACGCTACGAAGTCCAATCAGACGCGAGTTGTCAAGACGCCAGGTGGGCGTCTCACATTCCAGTACCCAGGGAAGAGAGGGCAGGGACCCAAATGCGCCAAGTGTCCCAAGAGACTTCCTGGGATACCCCATAGGTGTCCTACGGGCTACAAGAGGATGTCCCTCAGACAGAAGAGAGTGAACCGAGCATACGGTGGAAGCATGTGCGCTAACTGTGTCAGAGAAAGGATCGTGAGAGCGTTCCTTGTCGAGGAGCAGAAGATCGTAAAGAAGGTACTCAAGGTTGCGAAGCTGAAGGAGAAGGCGGCGGCGAAGGCCCAGGCTTAGGCAGCAGATAGATTTCGGCTTTGTGCTGATTGCTTTTTGCCTATCCTCGTTCTCTCTGGCTCTGTTTTTCAGATGGCTCCTGATATCTCCCTCTGTGTCCTGGATCTTGTAATCAAGTGAACACGTGTTTCCAAGACCTAAACTTCCATGGACTCGTTCGTAATGCCGGGAATCCTGTTTTCACCTTCGTTTAGGGCGGCTGTTTGAAATAGCAGGTTCGCACTAAACACGGGTGTTAGCTTTTAACCTCCCAGCAGAGCAGATTCTTCTGTGGGCAAGGCTTGAGAGGGGCTCTTCGGAACGAATTTGTTTTGAAATCATTTTCATCGGTGATCGGTTGACCTAATTTGCCAGCGTTTCAAAAAAAAAAAAAAAAAAAAAAAAAAAAAATTCCCTTCAGTTCTAGGCGACTTGGCTTGCCCTGCCGTGCTACGTGGGCAAGTCGCCCGGGGGTCACCTGCATGGGGCACCTTGTGCAGGCAAAAATCAGCCCTTTTTTTTTTTTTTTTTTTTTTTTTGGAGGAGGGCAGGTGGGGGGGTTGGAGGGTTTCTGTGCATGGCCGGAGGAGCCCAAGTCCGGGCTTCTTTCTTTTTCTGGGTGTTTGCTGTCAAGAGAGGGGGGGGAGAGGGGGTATAGATTGGTTGTTAAGGGGCTTAAGGGGTTTAAACTTTAAAGAGGGCTGCCTTAGTTTGATTCTGTTTCTGTGAGGAATTGTGATGTGACCATCACAGCCAAAAGTCGTTCGTATTGCGATTCTATACAACTACTTTTTCTGGATTTTTTTTTTTCTGTTTTTTTTCTTTGGGCGCTGGGGCTGGCTGGAACCCTGCCCGGGGTTCATGCCCGACCAGGCCCCCGGGCGTGTATCCGGGCACAAGTTGGGTGCCCGGGCGCTCAGACAGACAGCCTAGTTTTATCAAATTTATTTCTTATTTTGATTTTGATTGTCTTTTTGGCGTGGCCGGGCAAGTGATCCCTAGCCGCTTAGGTAGCCTTTTGCTGTTTTCCTTCTTTTCTTTCTTTTCATGTGTTTTGTTTAATTGCATTTGCGAGTGAAAATATTGCTTGTTCCCCCCCAGTCCATGTGGCTAAATAGTACACGCTTATGTTTACTTAGGGAGATCACGAGTTCAAATCCTGGGGGGAATTAGATGAATGCAAGAGGGGTTAGTAGGGGTACCCTTCTCATGAAATAAAACAAGGCATGGTTATGATCCGAATGTCGGGACCACAGTGCGGACGATCTGCATCTGCATCTGGATGTTCGGGTCTGGTGTCCGGTCAAGAGTGTCCAGATCCATCTCCCCACCGCCACCCCAAAAAAAAACATCTGAATTAAATAAAAGAAAAAAAGAAAAATCTGAAAAAAGAAAAACGTTATGCAGCATCGCAATACAAAAATCTTTTGGCTGAGGACCATCTCGAAATTCTTAAGCCAAATTAGAAGGGGGGAGAAAAAAAAAGAAAAACAATTTCAAGTTTTTTTTTTTTTTTTTTTAAAGGGTTTTTTTCAAGCTGGACAGTCCGGAACCAGTCCAGAGTCCAGACACAAGTCTGGCCGGACGTCTGGACTGGTCCGGTGTCCAGGTCTGGTGTAACCATGAAAACAAGCATACATTAGTAATGACATAATAAAAAAGTCTGATATTTAAAAAAAAAAAAAAAAAAGAGTTAAAAATCAAAATCTTGCTTTAAAAATATATATGTTTTAAAGCGAGGCTACCAGCCGGGCCATCCGGGTCACCTTGTTTTCCTGGGCAGCCTGGCCGTGCAAGGACCAGGGAAGGTCCAAGCAAAAAAAAAAAGAACAAAAAAGGAAAAAAAAAATTTATGTAGAAAAATAAACTGAACAACTTTTGACTCAGGGTCACATCGAATTCTGTACGAGAAAAAAAAAAAAAAAAAAAAAAAAAAAAAGAGTT